TTGTGCTGGGAAAAACTTAAACTCTTCGCAGTTCATCTTCACAGTTCTTTGCATACTGTCTAATCTGAGACCCTAGAGCCACCTATATAGAAGTGTGGAACTTTTCCTGTTTCTAGAGCCCAGTCAATTGTGCTTTATTTCCGGGGAAATGCAGAGTATTTGGAAAGCACAGGCCTGAAGGATCTTGGATTTAACCTGTGGTAGAGCTATTTTTGAGATCTCGGCCWGCTCTATGACAAGAGCAGTATGAAGAGACTGCAGATATAAAAGGGATTGGCAAAGGAGAGAGGCAGGTCTCTGCCTTAGTGCATGTTTTGAGAACTGAAACAAAGCACACTGAACAAAACTAAAAAGCTTCTTGGGTTAAAAGGAGCAGCTGTCTCAGTTATCTGTCACTTATTTTCTGTGACAGTGACTAGCTGGTTAGGGAGCTGGAATATTGCAAAAATGTAGGATATGCATAGTAAATCCCTCCCCTTCCAGTTTTGACACAGTAGTAAGTTCTCCCGCTTTGCTTGCATAAAGCTTCGTCTTGGACTGGGATGCAAAAGTGCTGCTGGAGCACAAATAATGGCAATGAGGTGAGAATTTAGAAGCCAAGAAAACAAAATGAATTGATACTGAAGAAATTTAATTCTGTTTAACTCTACTATATATTTATTCTGTCAGTTTTGTGGTTTATTTAGCTGGTCTATTAAATTGGACTCACTTAAAAGATGTCATCTCTGTTAGAAGTGTGTCTTTGCCTAGTGTTCAGTTAGGTTTACTAGCMTTTAATATTGTGAGGTGTAAAGGTAAAAAACAAAGGCGTGTGCTCAGCCCAGATTAAAAACAGATGTCTCTTGGGATGCTGGTTTTTCACTCTAATCACTAACCCAAATTAACTGACTGTGGTGGCTTTGTGCTGGTTATAGTGGTAGTTTTACCAGTCTGTGAGTCTGTGCTCAATGCAATCCAAGTAAACTGTGTGGGCCGATTCTTTTTTTTTTTTTTTTTTTTTTTTTTTTTAATTCCTGCCGTTTTATATATATATATTTTTCTTTCTGGAAATATCTGGTTAATAAAATGTTCCTTTTTCTTTTTCAAAACACACCCAACCCGTATCACAAACAGTTGATTTAGATGCAGATTTTTTTTTTTAATCTTCAAATCAACTGAAAGGCTGGATAAATGGATAATTGTGGCTTGGGAAACTATAGGTTGCAGAAATGAGAATCCATTGCATTGTGTTCAGTCCATTAAAACAAGAAGAAATAGAAGAGATACTTTGATAAGTGTTCTGCTGGTGTTAACCTTGATGGCTATTATCGGGGGGATGATGCTATATCTATTTCATTGGCTTAAGCTTTTTTCATGCTGAGAGAAATCAATACCTTGAGTCGTTGGATGACAGAGGCATCACTTCAGAATTGACGGTGGCTGTCAGATGTTGTCATTGGTTGACTTTTGTTCGCTGTTGAGGTTTTAAGCTTTCATTTTTCTAAGTCTTATTCAGAGTCTTTGTAAGATTTCCCTGGGTAGCATTTTTTAGTCCAGACTTTAAACCCCAGGTCAGAGGTCAAGTGCAAAGATCTGTGAGAGTGGAGGATGGAGGAGCTCCTTCATTTGCTCAACTATCCTTATTGGGAATTTGCATTAACAGCATGACAGTGCGTTGTCTTATGGATGACTTCTCTTGCAAAATGACACCCTCTGAGACAGGTTGTTCACAGAGCTTGTGGCTTTTAGTCGTGTAAGAYAAAGAAACTGGTGCACCTCAAAGCGATTAGTGATCTCTAGGCTGAGGTTATAAAAATAAAAGGAGTTGTAATGCTGCTTTCAAAAGGATCTGCACTGTTGAACAATTTGTAGGAAGCACTATACTGTAATTCTGGAAATAGTAAGGATGCGCATCTAGGTGTTACTTTTACTTTCAGCTTGATTTGGCATTTTTATACATATTGAAAATSGAAGTCTTGAAAACACCAAGTTAATCCTCATCTTTGGTGGAACAGACATAGTGAAATAAGCAGGATATACAAATTCACCTTGTCAGTATTCTGCACTGGTGTTTCTGGAATATTTCCTGCTTTCAAAACATATTGTATTTCCATGTTTATAAGTTGCCTTTTGCATGACCTTGTACCCCTTTGTAATCACTGCTCCTCAAAGGTAAATCTTGAGATAGTCTACATCTTCAAATAGCCTGCAGTAGTCCATACCRGGAAGGAGAAGCAAGAAAGATTTCTCTTCTGCTCCACAATAATGGCAAAGAGGAKGTTTCTGTTCCAAGGTGGCTGAAGGGGGAGAGGATCCTGGTCTTCTCTCCGTTCCGTGCTGGTGATGGAGGATCCAGCTTGAAAAACTTCCCCTTGGTAGAACTTGAACAGTCACACAACTACACGCTTCTGTTGTTTTTATATAGATAACCTGTGGAGTGCATGTATGCAGATAGGTTTTTCTTCTTTCAACATTTTGCATTTCATTGTGAGTGTGACTGAAATGCTCCCACAGTCGTTCTGTGTGGTTATTTTTCATTATACACTTTCCCAAAGAGCTAGCAGAAGTTGTTTAAGCCAAAGCACTACTGGAAGGAGTGGTTTCCAATTTGACTGCATGCAACTGAATGTGTATCAGGGCTTGACAAAGCTGTGGCTACTTTCTCCTCCTGTTTGTGAAATATGTACAGTGATGACTGTGCAACAGTGGAGAGCCTCTCGTGGGGCAGTGTTACAATTTATGGGGTTGATGCATGTGAGAGACTCAATTTTGGTGGAGAATTGCAAATTTCTATTTATATTAAATAATTTTGTTGAAAACTGAAGTCTCATTCACTTCAGGTTTGTAACATACTGGTTTTGTTTTCATGGAAGTTCTCAGGACAATGAAATACTATTGCTTCCTTCCCTTTAATGTCAGACCTACATTGAAAATCTTTGTTGGTGTTTAATGAAGGATGCATTCAAAATTGCATCAAAAAGAGACTTTTTAAAAAAGAGGTACAAGTTCATTATATCTTTTACAAAACATTCTAGTTTGATTTCCGTTTTATCATGTTTTAAGGTCAAATGTGACTTTAATGTTCCATAAAGAGACAGAGATTGATAATGGGGAAAGAATACCCCTCTAATGTGATTTATATCTATGGATTTTATGTCAGATATGAAAAGTTGCTGTTCAAATTGTAAAGGAGGATCCATTAAAGAGCACTTTAAAACATTTTACTACTTAGCTTACCTTAGACACTTGTTTTTAGAATTCTGCCCTTTCAAGCAACTCAAAAATATCAGCTTATCAAACATTTACAAAGTACTGAAGAGAACTCAAAATCATTGTGGGTGCAAAATAGAGTAATGTATTGGAAGAGACAGCTGTATTTAAAAAGAGCTATAAAAACCTTGTTTAATGGTGGTTATGATTTAGGCATCTTATTTTTTTGTGAAGAGGGGTGGTAGAATGCCTCGTGTAAGAGTACAAAAGCCAATTTTTGATGGCTAGCTGACCTGCAAGTCAGCTGCTTTTTCTACACTCCTGGATGTCTGCTCATCAGGTGAGCATTGCTCCAAGGCATGGGAAATATCTAGGGGGGAAAAATTGCAAGGAAACTTGTAAAGATATTTGAATTTTTTAAATGGAAATGTTATTTATTTGTTGGTACACTGCTGCTACCTAATGCCTACAYAAAGATGCACAGACATTTTTTTCGTTTGTGTTTTTCTGCCCTTTCTTCCTTCATTCTTTCCTCGCTCCTCCCTTCTCTCTCTGAACTGTGTATATATGACTAATATTTTTAGCCTCTTGATTTTTATTTGCAACAATTTTCTAATATTTGTATCTGTATGTCTATTTTTTATATATATACACATATATACAGGGATGTGTGTGTGTGTATATATATATATATACAAACACACTAAAGTATTGTTACTGTTTTAAATACAAGAAGTGTTATGATATTGAACTGCAATCTAAGGATTTTTTTTCTTTGAAATGTACTGATGCCTGCATCAGCTGTTCCTCATGAAGAAAAGGCAATTTTTTTTTGTTGTTAGACAGACATTTGTGTTCATTCTCCTAACTAGATCATAGAGTAATCCAATCATTGACAAAGGCTGAAATGTTTTGTCTGGCATATGTGATCTGTGGAATTGCCAGATGAAAACTGAAATTAGAAACAGGGAGCACTGAAATGGGGAAAAGCTTTTATTGTTTCAACCAATATTTGAATTCATTCTGCATCTTCATGTATGTTGCTTTGGGGTGGGAGAATTCTAAATTCGATGTGCCTTTTTCAGTTCTTCAATAAAGGAAATATTTCCAGATCGACAAGGTACAGAAGGATAAGAAAATACTCTAAAAGTGAATCTTTCATAGTTTGGACTTTCAGTTCTTGCTTGCTAGGATTAGGTTTTGGGTGCCTTGGAAAATAATGCACGTTTATTCAACGAGCGTAGTGTGCAGCTGAGAAAGTTGCTGGCTTTGCTATGGTGCCCTGCTACCCTACTTGATGTAGGCCCTCTGGGGACCTACTGAGGCTTCATGTGTGCCTTGTCTTCTGCCTCTCTGGAGGTGTGAACATTTCCCGTTTAGTTTTTATAATTGTACATTAATGCAAATAACAGCAAATGGATGGCTACTCAGATCTAATATAGAGTCACGGGAGCATTCTTTCTTCTGCAACTCACTTCTGTGTTTATAGTGCCCTATGCTTAGTTTGCTGTAAATTAAAGGTGGATGYGCTGGCATATTTTGATATGCAATCAGCACACTAACCTCTTAGTGATGAGAAAACCAGGTACGGTGTGTGGTTAAAGACCTTGGGACAGGCTGTGATCGTCTACTTGGCTCTGTGCATGGATTTACGGTGGGCAGCTGTGTGATTTCTCAGTCCTCACACTTGTAAAATGGAGATATAATTCTTATTTCTCAAGGATTTTATTTAAATAGTTCTAATACTCTTTAAGTTCCTTTGGGTAGTATAATTAAAGTACATAGTAGTAAAGCCCTTATTTTCTTTCTAG